TTTTTTTTTTTTTTTTTGGAGAGGTTTTTGCTATAGGGCACGTGCAGACAGACAGGGAGAGACAGAGACAGAAAGCAAGAAATCACCCCCTGTGGGGATGGTCACACTGCAATCCCTTCTCCTCCATTCTCCTCTCGGGATCTTGGGCACGCACGCACATGCGCCCGGCGTGAGTTTTAAGCCACCAGGTCTAGGACGCAAACCGCGGTCGACTACGTGGGAGTCCAGCGACATAGCCATTACGCTAACTGCTGGTTCCCACACACAAATATTTCTGGAGCCCCATTTACACACCATTACTGTTCTAGATGCCGGGGATACTTCGGAGAGCAGAATCCTTGCTATCATTGAGTTTATCCTTATGTGACATGGGGAGCAGTAGGGCTTAAAAACGTATGATTATTATAGTGAAATTATGAAAATGTTAATGTAAATGATTTTGTCTTCACAGTCAGATATAATTACTTGTGCTCAAGAAGTAGAAATGATGATAAAGCAGTTAGGAGCCCAACTAGAACAATTGAAAATGACTGTAAAATCAAAGACAGCTGTCCCAACATCACAAGTCTTTGTAAGTACTTGCTATGAACTTTGACCTTCTTAAGGGTGAATTAACTTTCAAGTCCTGTAAATTGAATCAGAAGTCATTTGAATTTCATTCAGCTACTAAAAATACAACATTAGTGTTATACGAGCTGGTTAGGTTATTCTGTGGAAATGGTATGCTGTAAGTTAGATGCAAGTGTTCCCCTTCCTAAGCAACTGCTCCTGAAGCAAGTGTGGACAGACAGTATGTTAACCATTACGTCAGTCTTGCTGTGACAGAGAAATAACCCATAGCAGCTACTGAAAATGCGTTCATAGTAGCTGGTTGGAAATCGCCTCTAGCACAGAGGTGATGCGATTTGTGACCTTTCTGGAAAAACAGATGATAATCACCGTGATTAGTAGGTCTGTACTTGTACTAATTTTCTGATTATCTGTACCATTTTATGGGCAAGCCTGGCAGCCCTTATCTAAACAAGGAGTTTAAAATGTACAAGCAGTAGTGTGGAGAGTAGATGAGGCTCTGATAACATTCTTTAATCATACCCAATATTTGGTTTTAAAATCAACCTATCATGTAGCTCATGAGACATGTCCCAAGACCTATCTTTATACTTTTCAGATTCCTTTGAAGCATGATCAGGCTAGATAAATTTAATTATGCTGAGTTATACTTAGTTTTTTTTCTTTTTTTGAGAGCTTTTTGCTATAGGGCATATGTGTTTGCCAGAGATAGAGAGAGACAGGAAGGGAGAAATCACTCCCCCCAGGGGGAATGGCCACATTGCAATCCCTTCTCCTCCGGTCTTGTCTCAGGATGTTGGGCACGCATGCACACATGCCTGGTGTGAGTTTCAAGTCTATGGGTCGGGGACTCGAACCATAGTCAGCCATGTGAAAATCCAACTATGCAACCATTATGCTATCTGCTGGTCCCTCTTTTTTTTAAAAAAAAAATATTTTCTCCTTACCTTTTGAGGTGCAATATCCATAAATCTTGTTTGAGTGATCAAATGAATTTAACTTTTTAAGAAATGAACTTTATAGCAAGCATATTGAAATAAAATATATTTATTTCCTCATAATTTATGAGTTGAAGTTCTATCCAGTCTAATATTTAACTTCATAAGAATTTTGTTTGACTTAGGAATTAATTTCTTAACAAATGGCAATTTATTTTTATGAGTACAGTGATTTATCATTTTATTGTGCAGTTATACTTTCAGCATTTCTTTTTTCTTCTTCCTCAGCCCATCTTCATTGCCCTTTCCAGTTTGTGGACTAGCTTTCAGGATGAAACCGTTTTGATAAGTGTCCTCAGTAATTTAACCACTCACCTGGAGCCATTCCTGGGCTCTCATGAAGTACTGTTTCCTGAGAAACTAATTCAAAGTCTTCTTGAAGGAGTGACTGTGAAAAGTGATGTGTGTAGAATGAAAGAACACATGGGTAAGAGAAATCAACCACTATTTCCTCCTCTTTTCAAAATTATCTCTAGAATAAAGTCACTCTTTTGTTTTTAAATGTTCATGTTTTATCTTTTTGATGAAGCATGGAACTTCTTTTTTAATTATAAAGTTCATTATAGAAAATGTGGACAACAGAAAATATGTAAATAGAATATCTTATTGTCCATCAATAACCATTCTTAATGATATTGTTAATACTCCCTTAAATAATGATATTTTATGTGCATATGTGTTTCAATTACAGGCTTAGTGATTTTATTGATTATAGTAGAAAATGATATTAATTCTTATTGTATTCGTTGCAAATAAAGCTCCGTTTGTTTCTTTTCATTTTTAATTTTTTCAGTAGGGTGTGTGCACTGGCCAGAGAGCAATGAAGAAGGAGGGGAAAGAGGAAAATGAGAAATCATCACCCCTCCCACCCTCCTTACCCTCGGAGGTGGGTGCAGGGTAGGGGGGTGGGAGATGGCCATACCATAATCCTTTCTCCTCCATTCTCCTCTTTTAGTTTTAGGAATGCATACACAGAGCCCAGGCATGATCTTTCTTCCTCTCTTTCTTTCTTTCTTTCCTTCCCTTTTTTAGGGAAAGCTTTATTTATTTATTTCCATTTGTTATTAGTTATTTTTTAATTTGACCAGACAGAGAAAAGGAAAGTGCAAAAGCAAGCCACCAGGTCTGGAACTAGAATTGTGGTCGGCCATGTGGGAGTTCAGCAGCCTCAACCACCATGCCAGTCTGGCATGATTTTTCAAGCCTCTAGACCTGGGACTCAAAGCATGCAGCTGGCCATGTGGGGACCTAGTGCCCTAATAGCCACGTCACCTGCTGGCCCTGAAGCCCCATTTCTTTAGGATGTTATTTGTTGTATGTGTACCTCAAATTCAAGTATAAAACTTATAAAATTATATTTTAAAAATGTATTTATATAAAATTTTATCCCTGAAAGATTAGTTGAGCTTCTTTTAGGCTCTTTAAGTAATCCATTTATTTATTTATTTATTTTTAGAAAGGCTGCTTTATCAATAAACTTTTTACTTTCTTTGTCTCTTCTATCTTGCCTAAGAAACTTAAAATTCATGAAAACTGCCAAAATAGCATCTGAGGTTTGAATTGTTGCCACAAAAAATGTTCTTCCAGAAAACTAGATAATTTACTATGTGAATTTCCTTTTCAAATTCTATTTTTGTAAAAATAGAAGTTAAAAATAGAGCAGTTATTTCCTTCCTCAAACTATTAGAATGCATAAAAACTGAAAACTAAATCAGAGACCAAAAGGACCCTTTCAGTTTAACTTTTTCTACTCATTTGATTTTATTAAAATGGCATATTAGGAGGCCAGCAGGTTGCATGGGGGTTAAGGTGCTAGATCCCACATGGCTGATTGCACAGTTCAAGTCCCAGACCTAATGACTTGAAAATCATGCTAGGTGCATGTGCATGTGCCCAAAATCCCAAGAGGAGAATGGAGAAGGGATTACAGCATGGCCACCCCTAACCCCCCCCAGCCCCCCAGTGTGATTTCTCATTTTCTCTTTGGCAAGCATATGCACCCTATTGGGGGGGGGGGCATTAAGGCAAATATTCAGTGAAACTGAAAAATAAACTAGCTTAAGTTCCATTATATTGGCAAGCCAGTTTACTTGCAACTTCTTAGATTTAAATGTGTCTATTCCCGCATCATATGGCAAAACTTTATTCACTAGAACACTATCAAGGCTTTTGAACCTCTTAGGAAAAAAGAGATAAGATTTATTTTCTCCAAATTATTCATTTACTTTTAGTCATACTCTCAAGATTTGCTGTTTGTGTTCAGGACCAGATACAAACTGTGAAAACTAAGTACCTAAGTACCTCAGGGAACAATGTTTTATAAATACATGTTATTATTTATGTAAAAAAAAATTCAATTTGCTTGTCACATGTAAATAAACCAATAAATACTAGGCAGAATTTTTAAAAGTGTGAAAAACAAAACTTGGGGGGCCAGCAGGTGGTGTAGTGGTTAAGATGCTGGATTCCCACATGGTCAACTGTGGTTCGTGCTCCAAACCCAGCAGCTTGCAACTCACGCTGGGCACATGTGTGTGCATGCCCAAAAATCCAGAGAGGAGATGGAGGAGAAGGGATTGTGCTGTGGCCATCCCCCTTGGGGGGTGGTGATTTCTCACTTTTTCTCTCTCTGTCTCTCTGGTGAGGCAAGCACCCTATAGCAAAAAGAAAAAAAAAAATTTCTCCAAAAAACGTTGGGGCCAGGGACCAGCAGATGGTGTAATAGCTATGTCACTGGACTCCCATGTAGTCTACTGCAGTTCGAGTCTCTATCCCGGTGGCTTAAACTCACACCGGGCTCATGTGCATGCATGCCCCAGATCCCAAAAGGAGAATGGAGGAGAAGGGATTGCGGAGTGGCCATCCCTCCTGGCGGGGAAGTGGGGGAGGATTTCTCGCTTTCTGTCTCTCTGGTGAGCACACACGCCCTATAGCAAAAAAAAAAAAAAAAAAAAAAAAATTGGGGCCAGTCAGTGGTGTAGTGATTAAGCTGGATCCCACATACCAACTGCATGGTTCAAGGCCTACACTCGATGGCTTGAAAAATACACTGTGCATGTGTATGTGCATATCGAAAATCCTAAAAGGAGGAAGAAATGGAGAAGAGATTGCAGTGTGACCATCCCTCTTGGGGGGTGGGGGGGCTCTTTCTCACTTTCCCTCTCTCTATGTGTGTCTCTGGTGAGCATGTGTACCCTCTAGCAAATTTTTTTTTAAAAAAATGCATACCTTGTTATCAAAATCAAGTTACTAAGAGACATTTCCTTGACTGTTTCTGCTCAGAACATTCTCTCCTGTTGCATGAGGCAATGGTCCTTGTATATAAGCATCATCTTTGACATATTTCGCCACCTGTGTATTATTGAGAACTATACCATTTCAAATGCAATTGATCCATCTCTGTTGTGGTCACACAGCAGCTAGCCTTTCCTGCTTGGGTTATTTACTTGGTAGTAGCAGGAAGCACCAAGTGGAAGTGACTTTTCAGAGGTGGCTCAGTCAGCTCTTTCTTCAGCAGCAAAGCCTGCTTCTCTGAAATGGCCTCTCCTCTGTGTTCTTCATCCTGAAGCAAAGTTCCACCTCCAAATTTGCTCCAGAAAGTTAGGTGACCACAGTCACTGAGGTCATTTGTACTTTTATTGCCTAAGTCTTCCCATAAATCTAGTTTGGGGAGTATCAAGTTTTTGTCAATCAGAAAAAGTGCAAAGCAATAAAAAGTTAATAGTTATAATGAGCTACTACTAGTTATTTTAAAATGTAACTTTCTCACTGAATAAAAGCTTTTCTTGTTCTCCTCTTTCATTTTAGGAGATAGAGTACAATTGGTGGATTTCAAAAAACTGGAATGGCTTTTCCCAGAGACAACAGCAAATTTTGACAAGTTGCTAATTCAGTATCGAGGATTTTGTCCTTATACTTTTGTTGCAATGGATGGTCTTCTCCTTCCAGGTATGTTACTGGAAATAGTATTGTTTCTCCTTCCTCAAGTTTTTCTTTACATGGAGTGCTACTATTGTCACTCACTTATTTACTTTTTAAAAACAAATATTTAATTTTATTCATTATTGTTATTTTTTTTTTAATTTGACCAAAGAGACACAGAGAGAGTGAGAAAAAAAAAGAGAAAGTGAGAAAGTGGCTGATGGGTCTGGAATTCAAGCTGCAGGTGGCCATGTGGGAATCCAGTGACTTAACCACCATGCCACTTGCCAGCCCCCTACTTATTTACTTTTTAAAACTTTTATGGAATTGGGGCCAGTAGGTGGTGTGGTGGCAAGGGAACTGTATCTCCACATGGACAACCACGGTTTGAGTTCCAATCCGGTGGCTTGAAAATCATGCCAGGCATGTGTATATGTGTGCCCAAAATCCCCAAAGGAGAATGAATGGAAGGAGAAGGGATTGCAGCGTGACCATTCCCCATGGGGTGCTTACTC